ACAAAAAACATATTTCTGCTGATCCCACTGCCCCATTGTAGTCCTGATATTTCTCACATTGTCTTACACAGGATGTGAACTTTGCAAGAAACTACACAAGACGACCTTCTGTGTTGGTAACAGCAACACATGATACAAGTGTTGGCCTTACTAACCCTACATGTAACGGGATTTCAGCATGGATTGAGGTTGGTTTTAATCTATTGTCATTATTTGACGTTCACATTGTTCCACATTGTGTAGTCATCTACTCCATCATTTAGAGTCATGCACTTTGTCAAAAAATCTGATACCAACAGCTGAAAAGAAACTCKCTCGCACTTATCAACTAAGTACCATTTTCAAACTACCGGGTGTGCCGCAGGACCCTCTCAAAATTCTTACCGTATCCCAGACCAATTTCTGTGATTTTACATACCCTACCCCAGACTAAAGGTACAAAGGTACATTATTTTAGCGCTGCAAGGGTAGCCTAGCAGATACGATCACAGGCAAAACTCAGCTCTACCCCAGACAATGATAAAATACCCTATCCTAGACAAACTGCCTTGTCCCAGAAAAAAAACTACTACCCTAACCCAGACTTAGACCCTAGTACCGAGCGGCACATGCCCTTTTAGCAAATATAGGGAAGTAGCCGGGGCCAGCTACTTATGCCCGATGATTTATTTGACTACCTACAAATATCTTAGACAATATCACATCGTTTATATTATATCACATCGTTTGGATACCGGATCATTTTTGTTCTTATACAGGATATTACGATGGCAACATTCCGTGTTTGCCTTAAAGAGCTGTACTCGGACCGTTATGATCCTGTCACCCTGCAGTACGTGGTTGTATCAGGTATTTCTTTTTGCTCAATCAGAACAGCTCGCTTAACTAATTGAGTCGAGAAGAAGATTTCATTCCATCGGCAACGATTATTGTTTGAGGGAAACATTACATCACAGTAACTACTATCAACAATTGTTCTTCGTTTTAGACATATGTGGAAAAAACTGGAACTACTTCAATGGCTTCTGCTACAAGACCACCTCTTCCTGTGCTTCTTGGGATGCAGCTCAGTCCAACTGTCTTGGTGTCAACTCCAATCTAACCAGTGTCACCAGCCAAGAAGAAAACACGTACATTCAACATCGTCACGGCGGTGATACAGGATGGATAGGACTACAAGACATTGACAGTGAAGGAAACTTTACCTGGATTGACAGTACAAATGTTAACTTTACGTACTGGGCAAAGAACCAACCAAACGGTTACCCTGGAGACCAGGATTGTGTACATACTCTTGGATTACGTCATGACTATCACTGGAATGACGTCACATGTGGGTCTTGCCATCCATACACATGCAAGCGAGGTACTTGTTTACAGATATGAATTGCATTAGCATAGATACTATACTACTTAAGTACTGACGTGTTTAGTTGCCTTCTTTGAGAAATACCTTTTTCAAAAGAAGTTTAAATCAAAAATTCATGATACAAATGATAATGAAAATCATGAAGAAAGTTTTTGTATTGTATTTTCATCATATCCATCACATCATTGAGGTAATACGATGTCTTGCATAAGTGCCAAAATATCTGCAGTACGCCTCTGGATTGTGGCATCGTTGATGTACTATTAATAACGCTTTGAAATAGATTAGCCCTAAAGTATCCTTCATTAATGACTGAAAAGAACTGATCACAAATCTTTCATCGTTATCTAAATTCAGGTTCTCTCATAAATACTTTTTCTCTTTCAGATATTGATGAATGTTCTGGTGATTATTACATGTGTGATGTAAATGCAGAATGTACCAATATAGAAGGTTCGTACACGTGTACTTGCAACTCTGGCTACAATGGCAATGGAATGACGTGCTCAGGTATTTTAGCATCTGCTATGTCAATATGAGATTATTGCACATGGAAATATATTGAGAACATAATAACAAGAGCGATAACTAGTGCATTTTGTCCGATTTCCGACTATTTATTTTATATTTTATCCCAGATCGGGATTACAAAGCGACTGCTACTGTTAATGTCAACGAAGACTCCAGTCATAGTTCATTTTCCATTCTAGTTCTCACAATATTACCGAACTCTGTACTGTAGAAAGTATAATTTCTTTCTATTCGTCAACGGTTCAATTAACAGCTTTTTATCTTGTACGGGATATTACAATGAAAATGTTCCGAGTCTTAAAGAAAGTAGTAATTTCCCTTGGAATTCCTATTATTGAGAATTAGTCAATGAGTGTCAATTTTACTTTATAATTGCTTTTGAGATACCGACGAGTGTTTACTCGGCACTCACAGCTGTGATGCCAACGCGCAGTGTACAAATAACGTTGGAWCCTATACCTGTAGCTGTCATCTTGGCTTTAGTGGTGATGGAAGAACTTGTTCAGGTATTGCATCACATGTTGTATTCCTCAAAACAACTGTACATTTTAGACAAAGTCATGGACCTCAGCTTTCAAAAWGTMTACCCAGACAGATAAACAACTTTTGATAGAGTGGAGATCACAACACGGACACGTACGGCACGGCACGGCACGGTCACGGAACCTCGCCTTCTAGGATTYCATATAAAAATAAAGATTTAACAATACATCACCGCTACAGCACGGTACGGTCACAACGCGAAATTACCATGTTTTTTTGCACAGTCATACGAAATCCGCTCTAAACCAGCAGGCAGATCACTGATATCCGAGACTAGTACTGTTTTTTATCTAGATATCGACGAATGTTCGTCTGGTTCCCACAGCTGCAACGGCTACGCACAATGTAGTAATGCAGTTGGAACGTACACTTGTCAATGTAACCCAGGATACCACGGTGACGGTTGGGCTTGTACAGGTATGTATCTTAACAGATTGACTATCTTGAGCGAGYATATCATTTGGCGTAAAYTGATCATGWTTTTTCTTCTATTTTAAGATGTCGATGAGTGYTCAACAGGCTCACATTCMTGCCATGCTAACGCACAATGCACCAATAACGTTGGTTCTCATACCTGTCAGTGTAACCATGGATACCAGGGTGACGGATGGACGTGCACAGGTTTGTGATTAACAGCCGCTTTATTTTCCATCTTTATTTTCGTTGTCGTTTTTTTGTTTTCTTATAGAATGACCATATATCCAAACAAATTAAAGGTTGCAGGGAAGCAAACAAAAATTATTTAATACCAAGAGACCAGAATAACGTCGAAGCAACGTAGTATAATCAAAATACCAAAGTTTTAATAGATATCTCGTTTATGCAAACATTTAAGGCTCAATTACAAAATAAGAGGCTCAGAACAACAATTTAATTATTGGTAGAGCAACAAAAGCAAAAGAAATCAATAGATTAAAAGTTTGATGCTAAATTACGTGAACCTCAAATAAAAACTATGCGCGTTTTATTTCTTTTCTTTTTTCTTCCTCTTCTTGTCTAGATACTAATGAATGTTCCTCTGGCGCCCATACATGTAATGTTAACGCACAATGTACGAATACCGTTGGGTCGTATACTTGTCGCTGTAATATTTACTACGAAGGCGACGGATTTTCATGCACATATACAGCAGGTAAAATACGTAAAAAAAAAACTTTTTTTAACTCAAAGGATACTTGTTTTGTCCATAGAGGGCTTCTGTTGAAAAGCGCCCCATTTGCAGAAATCTAATCTTATCAATAACTATTTGAAACTTGACGGGGAAAAGTGTTAATTCTTGGGATTCTTCCACAGTCGAGAAGTATTGGTTCAAAATATAAGAGAACATTAGGGTTAAGTCGATGATATCAACGACTATAAAAATCTATGCCATAATGTTTAAAAAAAAATATTGTCAAAATTTAAGAAAATTATCCACTAAACATGTGTTGCTGTATAACTCTATGTTATCCATTTATGCAGGAGGCCTAAAGAATTCCATTATTATCCGTGACTATGGCAACAACAACTATCTGCAGCAGCTGTCCAGTTATTTGAGTCCTGTTCTTCAAGATTCAAGTAGAAGTCGTTGGGTAAGATGTTGGAGAGCTGCTAGCGATGGATGGGATGTGGATTATACATTCCACCCCCAGTGTGACAACAAAGGACCTACAGTAACCATTGTTCGTGTTGGTAGTTACATCTTTGGTGGCTATACTGATGTATCATGGGATAGTGAGTACTTGCTGTTTTTGTAATATTCCAGGCCATTGCTTTGTCTGTACCGGCAAAAATTTGAAATGAACGAAATGAGCTGCCTTTTTTCTTTTGTTTGTTTGTTTAGACCACTTTTATGTCTTCTCTTGAGTAATGTATCAATAAATGCCAAATCGTTATATTTCATTAATTATTAGTTTTTATTTCATTTGAAAGATAATTTTTAGCTCTACATTGGTACTTTTTGAAATTACGATGGTTACAGCGCGAGTTATTGCGATTTAAAGGATTTTCTTGTTCTTAGCTGGTTTAACTGGTTGGAAGTCAGCTCTTGTCAAAATTGATCTTAGAATGTATAAAGAAACTCTTGCGGTTTTCGTATTACCTCGACCTTTTATGTAATATTTACAACATGAGTGGCCGTGTTGTATGGGATTTTGCAAGATTGTCAAGCCCATACAACACGGACGCGAACGTTGTAAATTACTTGTGAAACGTTTAGGTGTATACATTTATAAAAAAAACTAAAAACTTAAAGATAAAATTGAATTTAGCTGAAAAAAAAAAAAGATTTGAAGTTTATGCAAATCAAATCAGTTTGTATCAAATATTACAACACTCTTCATGGTTGTGATTTCTATTGTGTTTTCCTCATTAATTATCCATGAGTTAATTTCACAAACTTGTTTATTGTATCGTAGTAATGTCATAATAACGCATAATCACTTTATAGCCAAAATTCTATTTTTAAGGTTCTTTCTTGCAAAAACCTCTGACCACCTCTGATCTATTTTTGCGAATAATCAAAATCGTGTCTGCGATCGCGATTTCGTGACCTCAGTCAAGTTATTGTAGGTCTTGTGACACTGTTGATCAAATTTTTCGTCCACCAAAGCGTGTACCCAAAATCGTAGGCACAATTTTTGTGCCAGACATATAGTCAAGAGAACTGCGTCTCAATCGTAGGCGACCCGACTTTAGGTTTACATTTTTTTCATTCTATGACGTCCCGTTTGTGCCACAGGAAGCCCAAATATTTCGGATGTACTCACGCTAGTAATTGTCCGATGCCATCTGCGCTTTTATGTAATCAAAATGCCACTCGTTTACAAATTTGGTATATCTGTGATCTCATCGGAATGCATTTCTTAGCATCAGAAGCGCATACATATGCAGATCGCATGCAGTTTCGAGTACTATGATTACTTAACTGAATTAATGACCTGTTCAAATTATAACAAGAAGAAACTTTGTGTATCAATTACAAAAAGGCATTTTTAATTACTTTATAGGCATCTTTTATTTTTTTTAAGTATTGATTTTATTGATGACAATTAAAAACATAAAAGTTTTCAGTCATAAGATATCCCTGATAATCAAAGGCATGGCGGCACTTAGCTTACCATTTTTTTAAAGTATTTATGTTCTTGCTTAGAATTAAAAATGTAAAAGTTTATAGCATACCAGTCAAAGCCCGACTTCATGCCCTAATAGCGTCTATTTAAATATTGAAAATTAGATAGAAAATCTCGGGAATGTTGCTGTTATAGTTGCCCTTAGAAACTGGATGTTCAGCAAAACGTCATAGTCGCCTATTTGTTTTTGGGAACATCCAGTTTTAAGTACCTATCCCTACATAATGGCATCAGTTCGACTGCTTTATTGTTCAAATAGAATTTCAGGTGTTTTCTAACTTAATGGCGTCACGGTGATACAAATTAATTTACCGATTTTCTTACAGGTTCAAGCGGCGACACGTACTCCTCCAAAGCTTTCCTGTTCTCATTGTACAATACATATGGTTACAATCCTGTTAAGTTTGTTATTGTACAACGTCAACAGTATGCTATATATCGATACTATAATTGTGGCCCTACGTTCGGTGGTGGACATGACATGTATATTTCTAACCATGCATCAGGAAGCACCGATAGTTATTTTTATTCGCACGATTGCACCATCCCGCCTGGCTGTAGCTACGGTAACTATTGCTCGTTCTACACAGGTAACGGTCGATTTACACCTAGTGACATCGAGGTTTTCTATGAAACCACCAACTAGCTATACAAAAACAAACGGTGAAAAAGGTTTAGAGTATTATATTTTTTCTATAGATAGTCCTGGAGGCCAGGTCTTAGCTTAAATGTATTTTCAATAAAATGAAAATGAAATATTGAGTTTTCAGGAAATAGTAGGCGTGCTCTAGGCGTGTATCTAGAAAACCTATCAATGACAATAGTAAC